CCCGGAGCGGCCGGGTCGGCCGCTCCGTGCCTCGGTGAGGCCCCGGGCCAATGGCTGGGAGCTTAATGGCTGTGTTTTTTCAGGCGGTGCAGCTGGAGGCCTGGGGGCTCCGAGGGGCGACGCTGTGCACCCGGCCAGGAGGCTCCGGGACGCCGCCGGACAGTAGTAAGATGCTTCGATGTTAATTTTCCTGCAGCTTTCTGGTTTCAGAAGGTGCCAGGAGACCTGTCTACCTCTTTCAACCGTCTGCTTTCCCTGCATATGGTTATGTTTAGTCTATGTATGGAATATAGCTATCTTTTTCATGCTCTAGCTAGACCAGGGTGTGCACATTTTGGCTGATGGAATCAGTGATGGGGAATTGACCTGTAAGTTCTGGATACCACCTTTCTGAGCGTGAACCTGTTTTAAACACATATCAGTAATCATACTAATGTTACACCCTAAGTCGCTTCTGATAATAATATTCTTGTTTAGAATGTGTTGTTCTTCCATCAGAATCAGTTCAGTAATGACCAAATACAAATCAGGCAGCGAAAAGTTTGAAATACCCCAACTAAAGAGTAAGCTTATGATTATGAGTTGAAATGTGACTTTTCCACATATCTAAATATAAGTGATTAAAGTATTTTTCCAGCAACACTGCTTCTTAATGCTCAAGTTGAATGCTATCTGCTTTCTTCATTTCTTAGGACATCTTAATACTAATACTTCAGCTTTTGCTTTGGTTTTGCTCGTATGTCTTCCCTTTGAGCATTCTTGAGTTCTTTCTCAGCAGTTCTTTGAGACCTTTTTAGCCTTGAGGGATGCTTTCTCAAATATTAGATTATACAGGTTGCTGTGCTTTGCTGTTAGTCTGGGCAGGGAGTCAGATGTCCTTCAAATGCAATTACCAGTTCTCTTGCTTCCCCTATCCTCTTTCCCCACCCTGTGCCTTTAGTCCAGCAGAGATACATGTCTGAAATTCTCTGGAAGTATGACCTGAATAGTAAACTGATTCTCTATTGTTTGCGTTTATTTTAAGAGCTCTGTATCTCTATTTCTGGCTTTTAATTAGACGTATCTGTCTCTTCTGTGATATTTTTATCTCAACATTGTTAAAAGACTTGCTTCTATTCAGAGCTACCTACTTACAGTAACTCCTTAGGTCATACAAGGTATTACTGTAGAACATTAGTAAGGGAAAAAACCTGTAGTCTACCTCACCTTACGTCCTGTGAAGTAGGACTGGGCTTCCAAACCGTGCAGATATATCTGCACAAAAGTGTGGAAATCAGCTGAACTACACTACAGGTTGGAAAAAAAAAAATGCAACTCCTATGGATGGAATGGACTTTCCTATAGCGAATAACAGTAGTGAACTATCTTGTTAATGTGCTCTCAGTCCTTTTTGTCCTCCTGTTTTCTCTAACAAAAATAGTATTTGCTGTTGATCTGCTTCTGGAGCCTCTGTGAGGGAGAAGAAACACAGATTCAAAAGCATCAGGAAGTCTTTTAAGACTTTTTAATGAAGACTTTTTAAATTTCAAACTAAAATGGGAGTGGAGATAGAAAAAATAGTATTAAACTGAGATGCAGCTCAGCTGGTAGATCACACAGACCTATGAACTGGTAATACTTTCATGTATGGCCTCAGGTATCTCTTGTACTAGTCCTAGTTCCTTGACAGTCATCCTTCCCTACTGCTTACAAGATAGCAATAGCCAACTTCTTGCAATAGCTAGATCTGTTTACTATGTCTTCTGCTCTGCTAGCCTGCTTCTGGACAAATATTTGAAGATCTCTGCTGACAAGCTGTCTGAATGTTTGCCTGAGATTAGAAGGTGTTTGTAACCATCTCCAGTGATGCAGAATTGAAGCACAGAAAAAAAAAAAAAAAAACAACTCTTGGAAAGAAGCAAAAGGCGTTTCAGCATCACAGCAGCAGAAACTGTTCAGTGCTAACTAGTGCTCTAGTTTCTTTAGCTTAAAATGCCTTAGAGCTTTCTGCTTCATGTCTGTGTTCACTTTAATAACTTTGTAACTTGCTTTTTTTTTTTTTTTTGCTAGATTGTGTCAGAAAGTTAAATTAAATGGCTATCATTGCTTATTAGCCGAATGTATGTATAATGATGATAATCATCTTTGTGCCATTCCCTTTATGTAGTGGCACCACAGGGAGGCACCATGATACTAGCCACCAAGGCAACAGTTGAATTTCCTAAAATGTTGTCTTCTAACTCTCACCCAGTATCTGCAAAAGAAGGTGGGAGCACACTGAATACTAATCCAAAGGAAGCTTCAAAACCTGATGAAGATCTGAGAATGTTGATGTCAAAAAAAACTGTGGTTGCATTTCCTCAGCGAGTGATTGTTTCTTCCCTTGAGGAGGCAAGACTCAGTAAAATTGCAAAAAGAGGAGGCATAAGGAAAGAGCTAGCTGAAGAAGAAACTTCGTCTTCATCCAGCTCAGATTCAGATTCTAGCTCAGATTCCGAAGAAGAAAATGATGATGGTGATGAGTCAGGAGTTTCCTTTAAAACCAGAGTGGAGTTTCCTAGGCGAGATTCCATCTTTTCTGAGACCACACCAATAAAGACATCACAGCTACCAAGAGTTGACTTGTTCCAGAAAGACCACAAAGAATACGTAGCTAAGAAGAAGCCAAGCAAAATTGAAACTGATGTACCTACTATCAAGAAAGTTGCATTTTCTAAAGCATCAGTTAGTCATGAAACATTAAAATCCAAAGCAAGAGACCCAAACACAAAATCAACTCCAAAAGAAGCAGATCAGCAGAAGCTAGTTTTAGAACCACACTTGAAAAAAAAACAAGTCTTGACAGATGCCACTCTGAAACCTGATTATTTGGAGGAAAAGTCCCCGAGAGCCCAAATGGCAACTACTCAGCTGAAAGCTCCATCAGTGACTCAGGAAGGCAAAAAGCAAAACCTGATATCTAGAAGGGAAGGAAAAAAAGTAAAGGAGACACAGAAATCAGAAGCAGTACAGGTAGCTTCTCCTAAACAGGAAGAGGAGATTTCTGAAAGCACAGCGTTGGTGATGGGTACGAAGGAAGAGACTGTTCAGGAAGCAGGAGTCCAAACTGGAGAAAGCAGCACCATAGATGGTACACCTTTAATTTGTTTGATCTATGTTATAGATTCTTCTGGGTTAGGGTGTATTTTTTAAAAATTGTTTCCAAGTCATCTCTGTGATTGTCTGATCTTTATACTGAAGCTAATGATGTAGCAGTGTCTTTCTAGAAGATAAATTCTTGTTCACTGCTAATTGTTTTAAGAGCTTTGTAGCACTCAGTTTCCAGTTACATTGTGAAAGGAAGCTGTCTTCCTCTCACTGTACTTGCAGTTTCATAAACCAGTTGTTACTGATAAAAATGAAAACAAAATTATGAACAAAATGAACAGTTTTGTATGACAGAGCTCATCTTCCTTCTTCTTTGTCAGAAAGTTTTGGCAGCTTTCCTTCTCTCTCCTCCCTTTTTTCTCTTGAGCTCTTACAATGCTTCGGATTTCAATAGACTTCAAGAAATCATAGTGTAATACCAGGAATGGCTGTTGATTGTGAAATTGGTAGGTTTTAAGAAAGTCATGTTGAAGTAACATAGGGTTGACCTTGCAGCCTAACTCTTGTTGAGAAACAGAGAACAAAAGGCGCTGTTTTTTTGGTTGGTTGGTTGGTTAGTTGAGTTCTTTTGGTATTGTTTTTTGTTAGTTTGTTTTTAGGAAAAAGCATCATGCCCTCCCTAGCTGTACTTTCCTTTCCAGCTTGGCTTTCTTAGTTGCCACCAGTCTTGTTAACTTCCCTTTTGATCTCATTCTGCGTATTTAAGTAGTAAATTCTTCTCTGTCAAAATCTTTTGTGACTTGCCATTCTTCATTTCAAACTTAGACAGCATCCTGTTCTTAAGATCACCCTTTTGATTGCTTCTTTGAATTTAAAAAAAAAAGAAAACAGAAAAAAAAAAAAAAGGAAAAACTTGCTTGAAGCAGAAGCAGCATCATTATAAAGCTGTAAGGATAGCATCTTTCCTATAATATCCTTGAAGAAGTGGCCCTACAGGGTCTTGGTGGACAGCAAGTTAAACGTTAGCCAACAGTGTGCCCTCATACCTAAGACCAACAGTATTCTAGGCTGTGTTAGGATGAGTGTTGCAAGCAGGTAGAGGGAGATAATTCTTTTTGCTCAACACTGGTGGAGCCACACCAGGAGTGTTAGATCTCCAGTTCTGGGCTCCTCAGCACATGAGGCATGGAGAGATTCAAATATGAGTAGGAGGGGGATGACTTGATACTGAAATGTGCTCATGATTCATAGTAAAGCTTACAATACCTCATAGATTTATTGAACAGCTTTCACTACTCTGACACTGACTCTGACACTGTAAATTCGGAGTAAAATTAAGCCTAATGTGACAAACTTTTCCTGTAGATCTGTGTAACAGCCATGTTGCAGATCTCTTGTCAACACAGCCACACCAGCAAAACCTTTGGGATAGACCTGGCTATTCTGAGAAAATCACTTTGCTATTGAGCTCCTCTTGCTGTGTGGAGGTGGTGGGGCTGAGACAGCAGAAAATTTTCTGCTAGCTTTATGCTGAGTCCCCACTAGAGGACTCTGCTGTTGTGGCTGTGCGGGAAGCAGGGATTAGTACAGGTAAGTTAACACACCTTTACTGCTGGTGAAACATCTTTGGGTGTCAGGAGTAGCAGAGTGAAACCTAATTACACTGTTCAGCAGCATTGCTACTGTCTTTAGGGTGTTCTCTCTTCTTTTTGAGACCTCCTTTGGAAACAGCTACTGCTTTTTCATGTTTGTTGTTCACATTTAATGATTCCTTTTGTAGTCTATAATTCTGTCCTGTTCCTATATTATTTCACTCATCTGCAGCAAGTATACTGAAGACGTAATAGTTTTAGTAGTTTTTAATTTAATAGTTTTTCTCATTACAAACCTAGATGTTAAGCTGATGTCATCCACTTGGTAGAACAGACATGCTATGCAGTCAGCAAAAAGCTGCTGACTTCAGCTGCTCAATAAGAAACAAAATAGCATGGTAACTCAGAAGTATCCCTCTGATTCATTTCAGAAGGACATCCTGAGATATCCTTGCTCTTTAAGAGAGAAGGCATGGAAGTCTCGAGTGCAAGGAGAATGAAGTCAGAGATAAATTTTTCCTTTGAGAAGCCAAGTGCAGTGTATTTGGGCAGAGAAAGTGAGACTCCATCTGCTTTTCTTCCTGAGCATCTGTCTCTTAATTTGCAGCAACTGTCTCTTGCAGGTTCAATGTACACTTCCCTACGCTTCCTTGTTCTTGGGGCTATTTGCAGCGAAGCCTATATCATCTGGCTTTTATATGTGTAGTGGTGTCTCCTGTGAGCTGTCTCAGTTGGAACTGAGCAGCAGGGATAGGGGTATTTCTTTTTCATAGGTTGTGTGTTGTTTTGCTGAAACTGTGCCTTACTACAAGGCGTTTGATAAGCAAGCCATGCTAAATTTTATGTATACACGCTCTTAAACCAATAGCTTTGCATTGCAATAATTGTGTCATAATTAAAGGGAAATTCTGGTTCGAGTTCTTGTATTTTTATTGTAGGCTGTTGCATTATAAAAAGAAGCTTAATACGGTCTAACGTAAACCACTACATGCAAATTTATACGAGGAAGCTTTTCACTAGATTATGCTTATGTCTTTCCTATTGCTATAACTCTGAGCATACGAGAATAAATTAATATTGGGAATAAAGCTTTATTTCTTGCAATCTCCTTGGTTGTAAAATCAGCCCGTACCAGGATCCTTTTATGTAAATATTACTGCCTAAATTTGCATAATATTTTAAAAGTGAAAGAATTAATGTTGGTTTTAATGCGAAATAAAGAGTTCTGAGCAACACTATTGGATTGTTCTTTTAGGAAGAACTGGTTACAAATTTTGAAAGATTCTATCACAATTGCTTTTTTTCTGAAAGAAAGAAAACGTGTATCAAAACCTTATAATATATTATTGTTAGTATGAGCACATTTGAAATTAAACTGAAGATATCAGTAATTCAATCATTTTCCCCGTGGAAAAAAAAAAAGTCTTCAAAATTCAAATGAGCTGTTCTGTCCAATTCTCTCCCAGCATTAGGTGGTAGTTTGGATTTGAAAACCTGTGCTGTATTAGATGGCTTGTACAGATTCCTGTTCCCCTGTTGCATAGTAATGTGCTTCTTTAGGATCTTTAGGACCACAAAGATCATCTAGTTTCAACCCCCTGCTATGTGCAGAGTCAGCAATTAGCAGACCAGGCTGCCCAGAGCCATGTCCAGCCTGGTCTTGAATGCCTTCAGGGGTGGGGCATCCACAGCCTCCTTGGACAACCTGTTCCAGTGCATCACCACCCTCTTGATGAGGGATCTGAATGTTGCCCTCTCTCATGGCATTCCTGTAGTCACCAGTTACTGTTTCTTTTCACAGAGGCTACAGCAGCTGCTCAGCCTGCTCCAGAAGAATTTGATAATTCTACCTACAAGAACCTCCAGCACCATGAATACAACATCTATACCTTCATTGATTTTCATGTGGATCTCTCAAAATTCAGGCAACCTCAGCCATCTTCTGGAAGACCATCACCAAGGCACTGAAAGACCCACAATTAAATGCACAAGCAGAATGATAAATTCTTCTATTTAGCTCTAATGTATCATCTGTATAAATCAATAAATGCATGATAAATAATGCTTGAGTTTTCAAACAGTTTTTGGTTCTTGGAGTCCCTCAATTCCTGATTTTTATGATCAAGCTACAGGTCAATGAATCATCAACGAATAAAAATAGGCTTTTTAACTCTGAGTGTACACACAGTGTGAAACTGTCCTTACTTTTCCATGTTACCAGAATTTTCACATTGACCGTGTACTGTGTTGAAGGAAGTAATGGCTTCTGTGGATGTGTCTGTTCAAAAAGGGCTGTAATATTGCATGGTTTTAGCAGGTATTGCTGGAGATGCTCAGGACCAGGTTGGAAGGGGACCTGGGCAGCCTGAGCTGGGGGAGGGCAGCCCAGCCCACAGCAGTGGGGCTGGAACTGGATGGGCTTTAAGGTCCCTTCTGACCCAAATGATTCAGTGATCTCCATAATGCAGTGGGCTGTTCACCTTGCACACAAATGTTTTGTGATTTAGAGGTTACTCTTACTCTATTTTTGGATGTGAAATCATTGGCTGAAAGCAAGTCGCATTTGCCTCTTGTGGCAACAGTGCATGTTGTATGTTAGCAGATGAAGGAATCTCAAGTTGTGTGTTATTGTAAAGGGGAAATGTAACAAAACTTACTCTTCTGCTGAGCATGCTAGCATCCAGGCAGTAGTTGAAGCCATTTAAAGTATATGAAAACTTCAGTGAGCAGCTAGTATTGAATTATACCACATTGATCAAACTTTAAGAAATAACATACTTATATGAGTTATATTTGCTTGCTATTTAAATGTGACCAAAGCAGCATTAAGGAAAATCAGCTCCTATTATTATTTTTTCGCTGAGACTATGTTTCTGTTCCCACTTTTTTTTTTTTTTTTTTGCTCCACAATAAAAATTAACATGGTTGTGTCCAGCTCCTCTCTTGCTCTGCAGAAGATGTGATAAATGAAGCACTTCTCAATCTGTACTATCAGCAGTTACAGTTGGTCTCAGTAATTTTGTATTTCCATCCTATTAGTAACAGTCTTCTACCTTCTGGGAAAACTGCCTTGATGACCACCAGCTGTTGTGGGTTTGGTTCCATTTTGGCTTCTTGTTCATTTCATTTTTCGGTGTTAATTGGTCTTTGTGTGGTTGTACTTGCAATAGCAGACAGGTTTTCTATCACCTGTCTGTATTCTTTCAAGCAGCAGAATATGCAAGATCAAAGGGAACATGGAGTCAGCTTTAGTAGTCTATCTGGATACTGGGCACAAACCCCTGGGTGCAATTACTAGAACAGCTATTTTGTACTCCGACTTGGCAAAAAATGTGGTAAGAAGGATCAAGAGGCCTACATCAATCTGCTGTTTAGATTTTTTTAAGTCAGAAACCTCTGGCGAGCAATTTTATTGTCCTGTAAAAACTAAAAAGCATATTACTGACTGTAACTACGAAACTTTAAATCAGCAAACGCATAAATCCACACACTTAGGAATAAAGAGCAGAAAGTTGCTCTGAGCCACTGATGGTACCACGTGCACTGCACTTGGGAAAGAAATTTGCTGTTAACATTAAAAAGATGAAAGAATAAAGAAATGGGTCTTCAGAATGAGCTCTCGGACACTTCCCTTATTAAGTGCCCACTGGAGGGCCACTGTAAAGCTGCTGTGTTTTGTCGTTAGCTGAAACTCAGCGTAGTATGTAGGTTAGTCTGTGCTAGTGTGTAAATGTGTTCCCAGTTGCTTATTTTATGATGACTGGAGGAGGCTGCAAGCTGCCAGAATCTAAACAGTAAAAGTAAAAATTAGATGGTGCCCATTAATATGCTTATGTGTTTGCTAAGCCTGCTCACGGTGGTTGTGATTGTTAGCTGTTTGGAATCAGAATTACTCACTTAATGCACTTTTTATTTCTAAGGAGGGTTGGTGTTACAAACACTGAGTTAATCAGCTAGGGAGGAGTGGGCTGAAACTGAAGTGTCTTGTCTTCACTCAATTCCAAAGTTCTTCTGAGGTGGATTTGCAGCAGTATTTTAATCTGTATTGATGCCAGGCCTTTTGCTCCCCTTTTTCAGTGATTACAGAAAGAAGTAGTGTTGAATGCCCTCCGTGTAATCCTATTTGAGTGCTTTGTGGGGCTATCTTTTTGCACCTCTAAAGTCAAGCTTGAAAGTCAAGCAACTTCGTAATTCTAGTATGTTTGGTACGTGTGTGGCATACACTCTGTTCAGTGAATCAGTCTGAGAAGGAAAATAATGTAAGGAAGGGAAGAACACAGACTTTTTCCCACTGTTGTGTCCCAGACTTCAAAGAAAAAGGCTTCATTTTTTTGGTCTTTGACTATTATCTGATGTTATTGTGTTTGAGTCATATGCTAGCATTTAAATTTCAAGCAGGATGTGATACAATATGCTCATATTCTGTGATGTTATGATGATGAATAACTCCCTTGTTCTGCCTGGCACTTGTCAGATACAGTCAGGAAGCTTGTTTTAAAGAATGCAGAGTCTGGGATACTGACATAATTCCTGGAAACTCTCAAATGTGAAAGAAAGAAATCAAGTCACAGCTTGGGTTTTGTGAAAATCAGTTGTGGAGATCCAGCATAGAATGCAGAAGTGGGCTTTTCAGTGGAGGTACTGTGTCATTATGGGAGTACATGAAAATATGGAAAGTGGGATTCACTGATTTCTCATTAAAGAAGGTGAAACTCCTGCTTCCTTTATTGAAGGGAGCAGTTTTCAAACAAGTCCTTCTAAGCTTTTTTCATGTAGCAAATGAGTTACCCACCAATAAAATTGCTTTCAATGATTCTCTTGCATGTAAATCTTTCAGAATGAAATTATGAACCCGGAAGTTTATGGATAGTGGTTGAAAACTCAGACCCTAAGGTCCAAGGTAGTGATGAAAGCAGAGATTGTGCTGATTACTTGAGGTATTGCAAGGTCAAGATTCTTTCTGTCCTTGTGGTGCCTCTTTTGGCAACCAGTCATGATAGCCAAAGCAATCCACAATGCCATTTTGAAGACATGGGACTTTTATCTGGAGATCTTCCGAAGTATGTCCTTAGATTTCAACAATCAAGACACATTCAGTGCACCTTGCTCTGCTTGCCTGTAAATTTATAAGCCATAAAAGATTTGCCTATAGTCTTTTCTCTACTGCTTAAGCTACTTGCACAATTATGTTGTCCACTCCTATCTGAGGATGGTACGTAGTCCATTTTACTACTCAAGCTAATGGGAACACAAGAATACTATTGTTGTCCCAGTCTGCTGAAGATCTGTAGCAGAGCAGGACTTCCCATCTTTATGCTGATCAGAATCCCACAGCTCACGACTGGGTTCAGGTGAGACTTTGTGGCCTTGAGGTATTCTGGGAGAAAGAATGGGGGAAGCTTGTGAAAGCAGCTATCTCTTCCAAACAGCTTTAATTCTTGAGTTGGCCCAATCAATGACTACTCCCATCCCATGAGGGAGGAAGTAGAAAGCATGCTCACAGCATCCTGAAGGATTGTAACATCAGAATGATGGATACTGTGGTTGGAAGCAACATCCTGAAACTAGGAGTCCTCTGCTCTGCATCAGGTGCAAGTAGATCTGGTTGCCCCGGGCCTTGTATGCTTGTTTTGAGTATCCCCAAGCATGGAGATTCCACAGTCTTTTTGGTCACCCCCAGCATTTTAACATCCTCACAATTCAAACAAAAAACAAAACAAAAAAACCACAAAACCAACCAAACAAACAAACAATCAAACAAATTTAAAAAAAAAAAAAAGCAACAACCAACTGATTTCAGTTATCTAACTGAAATGTTTGGGATTGTTACTCTCATCCTTACTGCTCCTTCCCTACCACTTTAACTTCATCAGAGAAGGCAGTCAGCTCTGTCAGGTGCTACTGACTGCCTTAGGTAGTTCTGTTTTGACTGTTCCCAGTGATCTTTTTGTCCTTCATAAACCTGGGCATAGGTCCTAGGAGGATTAGTTTTACACTGTTCCAAGGAGCTGAGCTAAGGATGGGTAAGTTGTAGTTTCCCAAGTGTTCTTTCTTATCTTCATTAAGCAGGCTTCACGTCAGCCTTTTCCTCAGATATCAGGAGCTTCACAGAGTCCCCATGACTTCCCTAAGGTGAAAGAAATTGGCCTTACTATGGCCCAGCATCCTCCACACCCTTGAGTACCTTACCTTGTACAAATGTATCTTAGTGCTTGTGTGGTAACCTTAGTATTCATCTCAGTGTTACACTGTTCACAAGACATTCTGTTTGATATCTTTTAGAACTGTAGAATCATGAAGGTTGGAAAAAAAACACTGAGATCACCAAGTCCCTACTGTTGTTTTTTTGCCTGCAAATATTTAATTACATTTGGAAATTCACACCCATCTCTGAAAGTTTTGCAATATATGGCACATTTGGGATAGAAAACAATGTGTTTACAAATAGGGCAGACATAGGTTTAAATGTCTGTCCGCAGTAATAAAGTATCCCACAGACTTTGGGTCAGTATAAGGGGTCTATTGATCAGATGCCAACATTTTGGGTGTGCCTGTGCTCTCAGAAATTTTTTTAAATGTGTTTCAGTGAATCTGAAGCCTCGAAGAATGCAGCCTATAGGCCACGTGTAAATTCCTAATGCTCGCAGAACTCATGCCATGTATCTTAGTGACAAGTAATGCCTAAAATTCATAGCAGCACTCTTTTTTTTCTTTTCTTTTTTTTTTTTCCAGTCTGATATTCATTTCAAATGGCAGTATCCCTTTCCAAATCTGAGTGTTCTGTCTAAATCTGAGTGTTAAGTCTAGATAGTTCCTGAAGCAGTCAATATCCAGCAATTTAAAAATGTGCTAATTAAGATTATTTGTGCTTTCCAGTTTAGTTGGTTGGGTTTTGTTATGTTTTCTGGTTTTCTTCTTGTCTCTCTCTGTCATTATGAGGTGATTTTGTATTATGTTTTGCTGTTTGCATGGAGGAGATGGATACACTTTCTTTATAAAGTCAGTGATAGTGACTGTCCAGCACTGGAGGGGGAATGTGCAAAGCACAGCACACCTCATACT